ACAAAGATGTTGTGCCCGCCAAAAAATAAATAAATAAATAAATTATCTCTCTCTCTTAAAAAAAAAAAAGCACAATAGAGCCAAAAAAAAGATGCATTCCAAATATCAAACCAATGTTGTTATTTACACATTTCTTTACTTGCTCTAAGCAGTCACAATTCCTAATTTAGTGTACAGTGAAATTAATTGTAATTATAGATATGATATCTTCATATTTTATAACTTGAGGAACTTTTGAAACTGAGTATATACATCTATATGGAAATCTATATTGTTGTTTACAACACAAGACAAATGGAAATAAAGCCTAAATATTGTCCGTATATAGCTAATGATACACTAAGAGAAAGGGCAGTTTGAAATAATACAATCAATCCCTCAACTATCTAGTACAGCAGTTAAGTATACGGTATGCAAGTTAACATTTAGATCAGATACTTATCACTTAAGCCCCCAAACTTAGTTCAGAATGACAATCCTGATGTAAAACAGATGCTACCTCTGTAGAGGATGGTGAGCACACTTTCATCTTTGGGATTTAGCATGTCATAATCATCATGGATTCTTCTTTGCTAAATCGCCCTAGAGCGAAACCTTGATTCATTTTTTTTTTTTTAGTATCATATCCACAAAGGAAGTTTTATTGGAACACAGCCACAGTCACTTGATTGCGTATTGTCTGTAATTACTTTGGTGCTATAATGAGAGAGCTGAGTCGTCTTGATGGAGATTACATATGATGCTGTCATCACTTCACACTGACGCTTGGCACACTATACATCACAGTGACGTGGTTAAAACTCAACCATTTTTCAAGCACCATTGTGTATTGGTCATAACACTATATTTTCTTAAAAAAAGAAAGAGAAAAGGATCATTTGTTTTTTTAATCATGTTTTTTTTAAAGTAATACATATGCACTGTAGAAAGTTTTATACAATGCAATAAAACAGAAGAAAGCAAATAAAAAATCACCCTCCATCTCACTCTCCAGAAACAATTATTGTGAAGCGCTCAATGACCTTTTCACTCACACTGTTCATTTCCCAGGGTTACCATAACAAATGATCACAAAACACGTGCTTTAAAACTATAGAAGTTTATTCTCTCACTAGTCAGAGGGTCAGGAGTCCCAAATGACAGGGTCAGCACAGTTGCTTCCCTCAGCAGGCTCCAAAGGAGACTCTGTCCTGTGCATCTCCCCCAGCTTTTGATGTTTACCAACGGTCCTGTTCCCTGCCCAAGACACATCATGCCAGTCTGCTTCACCATCATAAGGTCTCATTCTGTGTGTGTATCTCCCTGTGTCTCTCCTCCTCCTAGAAAGCACACAAGTCATTGGCTCTCAGGCCCTACTCCAGTAGGACTTCATCTTTACTAATCACATCTGCAAGACCCTATTTTCTAATGAGGTCATATTCTGAGGTTCTGGATGGACATGAATTTGGTGGTCACTTACTCAACCCCTACACACAATATAATACATATTCATATAGTTGTAATAAGGTGATTACATTTTTTTATAGCTTAGTTGTCTTTCCACTTAATGTATCATGAAAGTGTCCCATCTTTCAAAACAGGACTTTAGTTTTTGTAGAATGGTCCACCACATGACTAGCCCATCATTTGAAGAACCAACCTGCACCGTCAGTCAGCATGGCTCCAGTCTTTGACAAATGTGCATGTATGTGCCTAAATCTTTGGATTTATCTCTGCTGATTTCCTTACTATACATTCTAGTGAGTTTAATTATTGAATTAAGAACATGTGAAAGGCTTGTGAAATAGCTTGTTTATGAATGAATTCCAGAGATGGTATCAATTTCCCACCTCAGCAAGAGGAGAGGGCCTGTCGCATAGCATCCTGGTCTTGCTGCACACTGTAGTTTCTTTAGTTTAGTGTTTGACAAGTGGACAGCTGAAGAAATGTATTTTTATGTGAGGTTGCATCTTTTTTTTTTGTGGGTTAATTATTTACACATCCTTTTCTGAGCTTTGAGTTTGTTCCTTGGGTCTGTCTAAATTTGTTTCCTCTCTCTCCAGTGGACTGATTGAGTAACCCTTATGTGAAGTGCCTGGGATCAGAAGTGATTTTTTTCCCCCTGATTTTGCATTATTTGCTTATACTTACTGAGATATCTTGGGGATGAGACCTAAGGCTAAACATGTCATTTCTTTTTGTTTCCTATACTCCTTGTACACAGCCTGCAGAGATTTTTATTCACTATTCTTAGTCTGCCTGCATTTTTACTGTGACTTATCACATGAGGTGGGTATGCAGTTCTCTACTGGTATGCAGGAGCTCAAAAATTTTTGAATTTTGGAGCATTTCAGATTTCAGAATTTTGGACTAGGGATGCTCAAGCTGATTTACTTCTTACAATGTTTATTTCTTCCTGTCTTATGGATGTATATGTGGCTCACCCCACCCATTTTAGACTTTGTGTGAACTAAGAAACCTAGACACCACCCTCCCTCTCCCCTTTGCCCATTCCGTGGACCACCTCTGAACCTTGTACAGATGTTAATCATGGCCTCTATTTGCATCTTAATTGTTTACCCCTCTCTTTCCCTTCAAAGACTTTGAATCCTTTGGGGGCAAGGTCCTTGTCTTATTCATGCTTCCGTGGATTGGCTACTCAATAAGTATTCGTTGAACTGGATTGTTACATTGTGACTCAGAAACAATCACAATTCTCTGTTAAGATAAAATAGCTGAATAAGGGCGTGTAAAATAAAGGTTGATTGTAAATGGGACTCTGAATAAAGTGCAGAGGATTTATTCATTTATTCATTCATGTTATAATTCCACTTTAAATTTTTAGAAGTAGTAATTTTTTGCCCCTGTTTCTCAGCCTTATTTCTGAGATAATTGGGACTGTGAGGAACATTGTCTAACTAGGCAGTGTTAGCAAAAATAAGCATACTAATTTTAATGTTAATAATGGAATAAAGACATTAAAGTATTGAGGAGGGAATAAGAATTGCAGGTGTCAAAATTTTAAATTTCTTATTGTTTCTATTGAAATCTTGACTGTGCTTGTTATAAATACAGCACAAATTTACACACTTGTAGGTTTTAAAATAAATTCCCATTCAAAACTCAACTAGCTCTATTTGAAAAGTACTTGGAGAAAACCCTTTCACGTTTTCCTCCTGCAATGAGTTCATGAAGTGTTAACTTGAAAAGTTATGAGAGAACTTTTTAAAAATTGCTTTGCTGCAAGAAGCTTATCACTATCCTTGACAAGCATTTACTGGATGACCAAACGTATCTCCACAGCGACACTAACATAAACCATTGCCACTAGCAGGTTTTCAGTTCTGATCTTTTATGCCTCCAAGGTCCTTGATGCCCATCCTTGTGCTTTGGTGCTCTTTGTTCTCCCATCCCAGGTGATCCAAATGCCTCTGGCCCTAGAGGAGCTTCTGTTATGCTCGAATTCGGGACCCCCAAAAGACCACCAGAGACCAAGATTGATGTAAGCAGCAAAGAGGTGTTTATTGCGAGCTAGCTCGGTGCTCCGCGCACACACACAGCAACTGGTGACGCCCAAGCCCAGGGTTTGCAGCAGTTTTATACATTCTTTGGAGAAGGCAGGGACCCCCACATACATCATACATCTCTTAGCAAATCATCACACACCGTGGGAAAATCAAATAACAACTCTAAAATGTGATTAGTACATTCACTGGCAGGAACAAATTGGGTAGGGGTGATTGGTTACTATAAGAGGGGGATTCCTTTGAACTGATTGGTTTAAGCCAAAAGGGGTGTACCTGTTGCACTACATGGTTTCCCAATACGTTATCAACCACCATAAACTACTGGGAGGGTCATCTGGCATCCCAGGTATTTACCTGTCTCATGCTGATTGGTGGCTGCTAGGGGGTTGCTATGGGTCCCCACCTAGCCTGACTGAGTCAGGGACACCTGGCGCTGCATATCTCTCCTGTTATTTGTAGATAAACACCTTAGCAGGGTGGGAATGTGCCTAGGAGTGCTCTGTGGGTCTTTCCAAGGACAAAGGTGATGTCCCTTTCTTGGACAGGCTTTGCCTGAGGTAGAGGCTGGTTTTTCACTTCCAAATCCTGGGTCCTGAGTTATGAATGCCCCCCACCCCCCACCCCGCGCCCCTTCACAACCCAAAGAGCTCTCTTCACTCTCTGCTGGCTTGACACACCGTTGGGCACTTTTGTGGCTCATTGGCATGCAGTGTGCCCTAGCTCTCTGGGAAGCACGATCTACTTTGCATCCCCTGTAAAGACTCAACTATTTGAGACAACGGCTCTAACAGCGAACATTTGAAGGGCATCCACCTCCACTATTTCGAGATTGAAATAATCCTCCAGGATCGTCGGAGCCCTTGCATTTTGGCCGTTGCCACAGCCTGCCCTCTTGAAGTTGCGGGGACTCTGGGCTCCGAGACCCCGCGGTGGGGCCCGTGCGTGAGCGCGCACGCGGTGCTGGCCAGCCCGGGCGAGCAGAGGCAGACCCCGGGTTCTGCAGAACCCGCCTCCGGGTTCCGCCGTCTCATCTCCCAGGCGTCGGGCGGGCTTTTGCAGAAGGGGCTTTCGGGCTCCTCCCGCGGGGCTCGCTCCAGCAGCCGAGGGGCGGAGAGGGGCTTCCGCGGACCAGTGGACCCTCTGGGTGCCGAATTCAATCGGAGCCTCCTGCGGACGGTTCCCAGTCGCCGCCGGGGCGGGAGGCTGGGTGGAGGAGCCCTCTCGGCGGCGCGGGGATGCAACAGGACTTGGGAGGGGCGGCGAGGAGGCCCTGGGCCCGCTTTGTTGGCGATGCCGGCCCTGCGCAGCCAGACCTCCAACGAGACTCCAACTGCAGGCGACCGGGCGCTTCCCCGCACTAATTGGAGGGGGCAAGGGGTGACTCATGTTACACCAGGGCGACCTTCCCTCCCGGGCCGCTAAATCCTCGCTTTAAAAGGAAGTGACATGGGTGGGGAGAGACGTCAGCTGAGGATGGCTTTTTTTCTTCCCGAAGGGTCCACCCCTGGGTGGAGTCTGGCTTTTCTTTCCCGTGTTGGCTGACTTACAGCTCCGGTAAAGTAGTGGCAATTTCTGAACCCCAGCCGGCTGCCTTCCAGTTTCTGGCTCCTCAGTCCAGGTGCCCAGGGCCGCCCGGGAGCAGGTAGGTGCTCTTGGTGCCCTTTCCAGGCGCCTTCTCTGGGTGTGGCTGACGTCTGGATCCCCTCCCGCGCCGTGCTCTCCTGCCTGGGTCTCCTCGGACCTCGGGAGGGTAGGCTGGCCGCGGGAGCCGGGCGGCCGTGGGGGGGGCAGGGGGCCTGCGGCGCGGCCCCCCCAGGACCGCGGCTTTGTGCGGGGCTGCGGAGCGTGCCCGCGGGGTTCCTCTTGCAGCCGCGGCTCTTGGCCCCTCCACCCACTGCCCCCGATGCAAGCGTTTTCTCTGCTAAGGATGAAGCTGGGGAGAATGTTCCTGATACCTATTGCTCTCTTTTGTGTCGTGCAACATGTTCTTCCGTCTTTGGCGTTTCTATGGCAACCACAAAAATACTACACCAAATGCAGACCCGACCTAAATTGATTTATTTGTATTTCCTTTCTGCGCCCGTTGTTGCTTGGGCTTGCTGGAATCCAGCATGGCTTGGTGGCTACCCCTCCTCACTTTCATTTTGGTTTTTCCCTATCACAGGAGGGCTGGGGGAGGGGAGTTGTCAAGGAAACAGGCATTTGTAATCACCTCTTTATTTACTTATTTTGGGGCCTATGTATTTCTCCGTCATATCTAGGAATTAAAAACGGAGTACTTTGATGTTTATGCAAGTCTTTAGTGTCTGGGTTTTTTAAAATTTTTTTTTTTTTTTTAGAAAACCTAAACATTTCTTAAGATGTAATATTGACTGCAAGCTAAGGAGAAGGAGTGTTTATAGGAAGGAGGTGAGATCCTTGAAATAAACTTTCAGAGAGTGCCTGACAACTCGCACTGATAAATAGTTATCAGCTACCCAGGCTTGCCTACATAGCTCAGTATCTTTAAGATGGGTCTTTGCTCTTGTGTGAATTGACGGTAGCATTAATTCAAAGTTCAGTTTGGACCTGGGAGGAACGAATGGTAACAACCAGCAGAATTCTCCATGTTTTGTTTGTGCATTGCCCTTAGGTGGGTTACCAAGCCTGCTCACCCTTGTTAAAAGTGAAGGTTGATGGACTTTCTGTTCCAAAACTGTAGGATTGACCCATCTGTGCTTATTAGTTAGCCATCTTCAGCTGAGGGGAAAAAAAAAAAGATTCTCTTAAGAGAGGGAAGGAAGTTTGTGAGTGTTTGTGTGTGTGTGTGTGTGTGTGTGTGTGTGTTTGTGAGTGTGTGTGTGTGTGTGTGTGTGTGTATGTGTAGGTGTGCCAGGAGAATAGGGCCAAAACATCACAAGTCCCAAGTTAAAACTACAGAATTGTCTTCATGTTCTGTTTGGGGAGAAAGACTGATTTTTCAGAAAAAAAAAAAAAGAAAATTATTATCTACTTTTCTAGCAAATTAAATATAATTAGAATCAAATAACACATCTCTTAGAAAGACATAATCCAAATGGACCTATTAACAAATGCTGCTTAAACTGATGCTTTTTTTCAGTCCACGAGAGGAAATATTTAATAATGGACCCTATGCTTTTGATGGGCAGCCTAAATTACCAAAATTACAGTACCAACTCCATACTGGATTCCTAAAATTATTTGTAATGAGATCTGTGAAGTTGGCTTAGTTGGATCCCCACCTTCACCAACGGAAGCCTAAAACATTGCTTAGAATCCTGAGTAACCCTGCCAGGTGGGAGCAGGAAGAAGGGGCGGTTTTAATGAGGCTCTGTTTTCAGAAAGGCTCATCTAAACATGCTATTATCTATGTCTTATAAAAGTGACTACAGTGAGAGATCCCGAGCATTTCAGATTCAGAAGTCATCCAAGAATCTTGGGGCTAAATAGCAGGTACAAAGCTAGAACTGAAAGGAAAGACAAGAGAAGATTTAAAGGACACGGCCCAGATAAGTATTGTCAAAAGAATGCGACCCTCATTTTGAAAAGCACATGTCAGTTCACATAGAGAGACCGGTGGGATGGTAGGTTTTCAGTGCTTGTTCTGGAAGGAATTTATGCCAAGTCACTGTTTTTCTAGCCTGAAAATGGACCTAAAGGATGTAGAGTTCCCACATGACCTTCCAAAGCAAATTGACAGTGTGTAAGTCAAAGTCTGCCTTGTGAGCTCTCTTGAGTTTCCAGATCAGGCATTTCAAAAAGCCTAGTGGTATGGAATTCAACGAATAGAAAGAACCCTATAGAAGCATAGCCCCAAACAAAAAAATGAAAACCACTTTGTGGATATTCAGAGAGAGGTTAAAATAATTAGCCGTCTTGAGCTGGGGAAGGTAATGCTGCAGCGGGTGTGAATTCGGGGCTCTCTGGAAGAGGCTGAATGGAGGTGACGCCGAGTTAACAACTGAAGCAAGGCAGTCATTGCCTTGGTTTTCACCATCTGCAAGAATCTGACTCTGCTGTTGTGAAGCTAGTGAGACAAGTAGAAGGTATATCTTGGACAGTCACAGGGGAAATGTGCATCTTCTAGGTCCATTTTCAGGCTAGAAGGTCTACTCTCAAGATTAAAATCCACCTTAACAGGGTGGTACAGTGCAGGAGGGCACCCAGCTGGAGAGGAGGAAGTGGGATGCAGCTAGTCCTTGAAGTTCACCAGGTGGAGGAATTCTTGCCCAGGATGCCCCAGAAAGCAGAGATGGGTGTTAAAGAATCGATCATGGATCTAGCAAGCTTCCTGGTCCAAGCAGAAGTCAGTCTTCAGTGGAGAAACCAAGCAGGTATGCTCTGTGCTGGCTGAAAGAATAGAAGCAGATACAGATTCAGGAACAGAATAAAAAAAAAAAAAAAATCAGTTCAAGAAGGACTTAAAAGAAAGACTGACTTCAAGATGGAGTCCTTATCCCAGCCCTGCTCCCCTAGTACAGGGGTTTGAGCCCAGGGCTCTCTACCACTGAGCTACATCCCCAGCCCCCCCTTTTTTTTTAGAGAGAGAGAATTTTAATATTTATTATTTAGTTATTGGCGG